CTGGTTTACACAGCTTGCCTAACACAGCCGTCACAAGATATGGAACGGCACAGCCGGTTACTGCAATAACCGAGGCTGTACTACTCATGTGGTACACACACAGCTTCGCTGTGTACGCACTGCTTCTCTGTGCGACTGTGCATCCTGGGAATGTACTGTATAGTACTACGTAGCCACAGATGTACAGTAGTATATATAGGGGACCTCTGTACCCCCAATCTACAGTTCAGTTCACTCGAACATCTCCTCTCATCGCTCTAACAAGCCTCTTACAACCAACAACCCTTCTAGGTGAGTTGCAGGCTATCCGCTGTCGTTGCCACCCGTGGGAGAGGCCTTCGCCCCCCGGGTTCAACAGTCTCCTCTTTCGTGGTTTTTTGCGGCTTCCCTGGGTGAGTAGCCTACAACGAGGTCTGCAGAAATGAGGGATAACCACACTTGCAGGTCTGCAGACCTCCCTCACATGCAACGAGGGCTAATAATTGGCTACAGGAGGGGGAAAGTGATGGGGCGCCCTACGAGCGCATCATATTTTGATGGGTGAATCAAACGAGAAATCTGGTGTTTCTTAGGGTGCAAGCCGTCCTTAGGACTTGAGCACCGCTGGCCTCTGTTACAAAGCGAGCCACCATATAGGTTGCAAACCGGGAGAAGTGCGCACAGAAGAAGGAGAGCGGTAGTCTCGTGACCAGACGTTCGGAGCTTTGAGCGGAAATGAAAAAACCGGGACTTTCCGCGCTCCTGAACGTCTGGTGGATCCACCCCCGTGACTCCCCGCTCGGTGACCTGTGTGACATACCGACGCCCCGTTAAAGTAATCCGACAAAGTCGGAGGGCGCCCTCAGTGCGCGATGCGGCTGCACGCTGTCCTAGTTACAAGCTTGCATACTGATAAACTCGGGGCTGTGAAGATAAAGATTAGATCCGACTAGAGTCGAAGCAAGATCTTCAGTCAGTAAGGAAAGACTATATTGCAGCAACGAACTGTACCTAGAGTCGAAGCAAGACTACAAAGGTTAAGTAAGTAACTACAAGTTAGAGGTAGATGTAACGAAGTACTCACTCTTCAGTCAGTAAGGAAAGACTGAAGAGGGAGGACGAAATCTGAAGTCCTTATATACTACAGAGAAGTGTCCATGACTAATCGAAGAGTGGTTAGTCACATGTACCATAGTGTGATGAATACTACAACGACGAAAGAATTGCGACATATCGCACCATAGGATGAGTAAGAG